CAGTTTGGAACTGCCGCTGTACTTTTAAGATGTTGTGGATGAATTTTTCTTCAGATTAAAAATAGGGTAAGGTTTCCTCTGAAGAGTAAGTGTGCAGCCTCTGCCACCAACTACTAATTTCACACAGCTCAAAATTCCATATCACTGATCAAGATCTGCCATCGTCAGACCAAAAGAGGGTTTATGATGAGGCTGCAGCAGAGAACAGGCACTTGGTATGTCGGTCAATGATGTGTTTGCGTGACAGACCGCCACCCCAGCATTGCTTTAAGATTTGCCGGTCGAGCTTGTTCAGTCCCTGAGAGCAAAGACGGAGATCCTTAACTAGTTCTGACAAACCATCCAGACCTGCACTGTCCCAGGGGCCCGACACCTGACAACCTGAGGGGGAAGCACAAATTCAAAGTGTGTATACAGTGCATACATGAACTTCGCAGTGTTTTGTCTTTAAGCTGTAACCCATTATCAAGTATAACCATCTGATAGAAATATATTATGAAAATAGAAAAGTTCTTCAGTTAAAGCTCTGCCCTCAGTTCTTATCAAACATCTGTTTGTATAACTTATCCAAAGGCAAAGATGATGACAGTTGCAAGAAAACATGAATATAAATGCTGTACATCCCATTCAATAAAACTACTGACCCATGCATACAAGTACACACCTTGAAGATTTAGAAGGGTCAAAGCTCGACCAGCGTCTCTCACAGACGACAGGATGCTGTGCAGTCCTGCTGATGTGACAGATGGATTTCCTGATAAGTTTAAACTCACCAGAGATGGACATGATGGCAGGCACCTGGAGACAAAGCATGATAGATCACACCAAAGAAATCTCAAATTAAAAGTTCATTTTGCAGGGAAAGGGTAACTGGTTCTGTTTTAAACGTATGGGAATATCATCATATTGAATTAATCCAGTCACTTAAGATAAGGCAAAGTTAAATGTCATCACTAACAGAATAATTCTGAACATGTGTCATAGACTAACAGAAAAGACCTTGGCAGCATGTTGAGAAGACACTATCACACCATAATTATAAACCATGCAGGTTCTGATGAAATACTCCAGGAAACACACACATCCAGAGTCCCCACAGTGTTAGTGGGCTCCTGGTTTTGCTTCTCCACAAGTATAAAGAATAAAAGAACACACACACACACACACACACACACACACACACACACACCTGGCCAAGGTGGATACGCTGCTGTCCGTCAACCCATTTGCTGCCAGACTCAGGTGGGTCAGTGAGCAGTCATCCTATAAGAAAAGATTTACATTTTTCTTTACAGCAGTCTAATATACTAATTCTATTTGTACATTACAAAACAATTTGTGTGTGTACCTGCGACAGGACTTTGGTGAGGTGTTCCAGTGCTGGGATGTCAGCAGGACCCTTGAGGACAGCAGACAGGTCCAGGTGTGTGAGACAGTGCAGAGGCAGAGTTTTTAACACCAGCTCAAATCCAGTAGAGCCCAGTGCATTGTGGGATAGGCATATTGATTTTAGGTGCCCCGTGTCTGAAAGCATGGCATATTTTTAAATATTGGCAAACACTGGATCAGTGGCAAAGAGAATTGATATAGGATTGTATCTTAATGAGAGTGTCAATTCACATCCCTATATGTAACCCCTTCTTTGAAATTAGAATTCTCACTTTGATACTATGTTCTGTACTGTTACCTGCCAGAGCGCTGGCTAGCAGCAGTCGATGCTGCTGCAGAAATCGAGCGGTGAGGCCACAGGCCTGCAGAGACAGCTTGGATAACAGAGGGCAGCAGGACAGCAGACAGGACAGGGACTCTGACACACCATCACCCAGCGGGTTCTTACTAAAATCAAGCTCCTCCAGACACTATGAAAAGAGGTGACCACAAATGCAAGTATGAAATCAGATATACCGAAATCATTTCGCATGCAATCAATTCTCTGGTGTAATGGAAAATGTGCAAGATGTGTGACATGACTGTTCAGACACTGTGGTTTGTG